CTTAGTCTGCTATTTTTTTTTTTTTTTTTTTTTTTTTTTTTTTTGTTCTTTTTTTTTTAAAGTCGTTTTCCTGCGTTGACGAGGATGATCTGGGGTTTTTATTTGTTTCGTCGTTCGTTCTTGGTTTCGGTGGGAGGGCTGAAGGAAACGTTCACATTTTAGAATTGAAAAATAAAAAAACAACACCTTGACATTAAAAAACCAACACATGATCAAAAAGGAAAAGGACGAGAGAAAATTATTTTAAAGATAATTCAACATAAAAACCCTGGTGCTTCTTACATTATAAAGTACGTTTTAAAAAACCCACAAACTATTATACATAAGTTTATGAATCAATTAAATATCCTGCACTTGTTAGGAACACGCATATCCCTTCTTTGTTGAGTTTAACGGAACGGGACAGCGGCGTGCGCCCGGCGGCGGGCTGCTCTGGCCGCGGGTCTCCCCGGGCGCCCCCTCCCCGGGGCCCAGCGCCCCCTCCTCGCCCCATCCCCGTCCGGGCCCGGGGGCGCGGCGGCGGGTCCCCAGCCCCTCCCCCGCAGAGGTCAATGCCAACGAACAAACGTCCCCTCCCTCCCTCTCCAACCCGAGCGTCCTTCTTTGAGCCAGACGCCAACTTGACCCTCACCAGCATTATCAGGAGCGCGCTCAGCAAGTTGGTAGTTTCTCCCCTCCCCCGCCCCCCACCGCTTCCCTGGCGCCCGCGACTCAACATCACCCTCCCACCCCCACCCCGGTCACCCTCCGGGGAGTACGGGGAAGGCTCGACGCTCCAGGACAGGACCAGCCAAGCTGACAGGTCGATTCGCCCAGGCCCGCGCACGCACGCACGCACGCACGCACACGGCCCCGCACACAGCCCCATCCTACCCTGCAACCAACCCCGTCGACTGCCTTACACACCCGCCCCCGCGCTGGCCGGCCGACCTAGTGCCTTGTTCTCACCCCCGTGCTGGCGGAGCGGACGCCGCGCTCTGGGTCCCAGAGGGGCCGGGTGGCTCAGACGACCCACCACTTCCCCACCCCGACCGTGCTGAACGGACACCCCCACCCCACACACACACACACACACACACACACACACACACGAGAGAAAATAAAGCAGCAATAAAGTCACGAGAACTT